ATGTTCTGGCTATGGATGAAGTGCAACAAAGGTTTACCAGAGTGATTCCTGGGATGGCAGGACTGATGTATGAAGAAAGATTGAATAGGTTAGGATTACATTCATTGAAGTTCAGAACAATTAGGGTGAAATCCAAAGAAACCTATAAAATGCAAAAAGGACTAGACAGGGCAAACACACAGAAAGATATTCTGAATGACTAGAAAGTCCAGAATAAGTCGTCATAGTCTAAGGATACAGGGTAGGCCATTTAGGATCAGATGAGAAATTTCGTCACCCAAAGACTGTTGAGCCTGTGGGATTCCCTGCCATAGAAAATGGTTGAGGTCAAAATGTTGAATGTTTTCAAGAAGGGATTAGAGTAGTTCTTCAGGCTAAAGGGATCAAAGGTAAGAGGAGAAAGCAGGAATAGGGTACTGAGTTGGATGATCAGCCATGATTATATTGAAGACAGAGCAGTCTTTTTATGTAATTGTTGAAGTATTATGAACATCAAATCGATTCACCTATGTCTGTTAGAGAAGAATGTCTTCTTTTCTTACCCCAGTTTAGCCCATGTTCAATACAATTCTCGAAACAACTATCTTTGAAGGTGGCCTGCAAACCACTCAATAGTAGCAAAATTACTTAGTTAAATGATTGTTTATCGGATTATGTATAAACAAAGAGAAAGTTGTTGGGAATACCTATTTAAAGTATATCTGGAGAATACTGGAAGATTTTGCAATATTTGGACATTCTCTGGATGGGGGAAGGGGGGTTATACCATGTGATTTCTTGGAAATGAAGCCAACAGTTTAATGTGTAATGTCAGCCACTTGCTGTATTATTAGAAATCAAACAGAGACATACAGTCATAGAGTTGTACAGCATAGAAACAGACCCTTCAGTCCAATTTGTCCATGCTGACCAGATATCTTAAATAAATCTAGTTGCATTTTCCAGCATTTGGCCCATATCCCTTTCAACCCTTCCTATTCATATGCCCATCCAGATGCCTTTTAAATGTGTAATTGTACCAGCATCCACCACTTTCTCTGGCAATTGATTCCTTAGGTGTCTTATTGAAACATACAAGATTCTAATGGAACTCGACACAAATGATGCAGAAAAATTATTTCCCCTTGTGAGACAGTCTAGGATCTGAGGGTATAATCTTATGATAAGGGATCGCCCATTCAAGGCAGCGATCAGGAGAAATTTCTTCTCACAGAAGGTAGTGAATCTGTGGAATTCTTGACCAAAGAGGGCTTTGGAGGCAGTGCCATTAAGTATATTCAAGGCAAAAGTAGACAGATTTTTAAATGATTAAGGCCATCAACGGTTATAAGAAAAAGGCAGGAAAGTGGTGTCAAGGATTATCAAATCAGCCACGATCTCATTGAATGGCACAGCAGACTTGATATGCTGAATGGCCTACTTCTGATTCTATGTCTTATGATCTAATAGTTATGCAAGATGTTTGGTAGAGAAAAGATTAGATTTGTACACATACACATCTTCAGAGGTTCATGAAAAAGAAAGGAGTTGGGAACAAAGAAATGGGTTGGATGAATTGGATAATTGGAATATTACTGGAGTACCATTAGCTATTCAAATACAGGTTGTGTCAGAAATCAGTTAGATTTGAGTCAAAATCAGACAGACAATTAATTGATGATCAAGGTCGAATAAGTCACTGTTAAAGAACATTTCTAGTCTCAGGCCAAGATGGGTCAAGGTCCTTCATAGGTTGTGAAAGGTTCAGTAAAGAAAGACAGAATCCTCTTAGGATCAGGAAACCAGTGGTTTTTATATTTGTAAACAAGTGGAAAATAAGAGATATGTATGAGTTGTGTGAAATTTTCAACATTGTGCAACAAATTCATGAGGAGGGAGGAATGTGATTCTACCCTTTTGCGGCATCTATAGAAATGTGTTGAGTAAAATAAACCAGTTGACCGAAGCACTTTCAGAGTTACTATGCAGTATATAACACAGGTCTAGAAGTCTGAGGCCACTTAAATTTGGATACATGAGGATTAATTCCTGCACCGGAACAGTAGGTCCAAGACACATATAATGTTGAGTATCAAGTTGCATCATTGAGACAATAAACTGCAGAAATTTAATTGCTGTTTCACATTTGCAACACCTCACTGAAACCCTATCAACTGACTCTCCCGCCCATGCAACATCTGAGAGTACTGGTTTGTTTGAATTTTACCTGGCAGCAAATCATGATCTGTCTTTTCAGCCTGCAATGAGAGGGAAGTTGACCAGCACATTGTGAATGAGTGATACCAGAGATCTACAAGAAGGAGACTCACTGCTTTCCTGTCTATGAATTCCTCTTTCTCATTTCAGCCCTCTGAGTTGTTCATTATTTATGCTGAGATTCCAAAGAGTCCACCTCTCTATATGGCCTAGAGGAAATCTCACAGGAGATCCAAAAGCTTCAGAATATAAAGAATGTTATCACGATACAAGTCCTACCTACTTAAATTATTTCCTCGACAGAATAACATTTTTTTTCCTTTTTATGATTTTTGCCTTAATAAATCTGCATTATACAATGGGCAAAATCCTGTATAGTGTTTTAAGATAAACAATTTAATTTCATATGGTCACATTCCATTGTTCTTGCAGTGGGGAACCCAGATGAGATCAACATGACATGTTCCCAATTAAAGGCATGCTCAAAGAATCTAGATTGTATGCTTATATCTGGAAGACCACTGGAAAGCCTGAGGAGGAGATTGGAACATTGGAAACAAGTAATAACAGTAACTCAAGACTTTTTCCAATAAATCAGAGTTAGTAACAACCTGTGTGTACCCACTTTTATTTAGAATAATTAAACATTATATGGAAAATTATGAAAAGTGCAGTCAGAGAAGTTCATTTTTAAAAAATGTTCCCCCAATGCTTTGTGTTTGGTGCCAAGCCAGACATTAATAAATTTTTAGATTCCTCCATCAAGTGTCTTGACAAATCTCCATGACAAGCTGAGCTCTTCTCTCATCAGTGCAATGGAAAAGCAACATTGCCCCATTCAACCTTGGAATAACAACTCCTGTCCATAAATTGTGAAATGGCATCTCTTGCGAACTGATCATGGAAGACAATATGTAGAATCAACTTTTGGGAAAATGGAGACGTTGGAAGCTAAAATGATCAAAAATGAATAAAATCAATGGTAGGAAAATACTATGCAGGAAATCTGTTTTGTGGTATCCAGTTCGTTTTACTTTAACAGATTCCTGAAGAGTGTCAAGATTCAATTTCATGCAAGAACCTTTAACTACTAAAGAAAATGAAAATTATTATACCAGTAATAGATGGCTATTTTTCAGTACCTTTTAAAGGTCAAGCCAACTAGAATCTTTGCATTGAACCAAACAGGATGACTTTAAGGACTTGGATGGTGAGGAGGGAGGAGAAAGATGAGGAAGTAGCATGTTAATTCCAATGAAAAGCAACTCAGCAATTTACCAGATAGTAAGAACTGCCGATGCTGGAGTCTGAGATAACACAGCGTGGAGCTGGAGGAACACAGCAAGCCGGGCAGCATCAGAGGAGCAGGAAAGCTGATGTTTTGGGTTGGGACCCTTCTTCAGAAATGGTGGAGGGGAAGGGGGCTCTGAAATAAATAGACGGGGGGTGGGGTTTAGGCTTGGAAAGGTAGGTGGGATGGTGGTAGCAGGTAGGTAGTGGTGGGGATTGGTTAGTGAAGTGGGAGGAGAGAATAGGTGGGAGAGAAGACGGACGGGTCAAGGAGGCGGGGATGAGAGGGAGGGTTGGTCTTGGGATGAGGCCGGGGAGTGGGGAGATTTTGAAGCTAGTAAAGTCCACATTGAGACCATTGGGCTGTAGGCTTCCAAGGCGGAATATGAGGTACTGCTCCTCCAGTTTCTGGCTGGCGTCGTTGCGACACTGGAGGAGGCTCAGGATGGACATGTCGTCCAGGGAGTGGGAGGGGGGAGCTGAAGTGATTTGTGACTGGAAGGTGTTGTCATTTGTCACGAACCGAGCGTAGGTGCTGTACAAAGTGGTCTCCAAGCCTCCTTTTGGTCTCACCGATGTAGAGGATTTACCAGTTTGAAAGCCACAGGGACAAGACTGTCAGTGTCAACTGATGTCATATTGCCACTGCTTCCTGTTACTGCAAACAGCACATACATTACAGGATCTTCCAAATACTTCTACTCCAGCAAGAGATGACATTGCAAAAAATTTCAATTAGGAACACATGTT